ATAAGCTTTTTTCCAGGTGCCTTCTTTTAAAATTCCGATAGTAGTAATAGGTCAGATCATGTTGTTATTTATTTTGATCGAACATATCAACCTTGTATAATCTATACTCATTTGCCAATGTATTAATAGTTGTGATTTTCTTTTCGATCTTGTTATATCTTTAAAACACTTTTATGTTGTATTATTGATGATTGTTGAAAAAGATTTATCAGGTACTACTTGATTGTTACATTTAATATGAAAATAACATACATGTAATACTTGAAACTTGAATTCAAGTATTCAATTATTGAATAGTTGAAATTTCAACTATTCAACTATTCAAATTTTAACTTCTCAAGTGTTTTGCGGATATTCAGTGGGAAAGCGCGTTTTCCCACCTAACACACCTTTTATTTCAGCGTCGCGGCGTGGGGGCGCGAAGCGCCCTCTGAAGAGCCGCGACCCATGCACGTCTCTGTGTACACCATTATTCCTACTCAGTGCTACATAGTAGCTCAGGCTTCTCACACATTTCTTGTAGCATTCCAGATAATGTCTGAAGCATCTCAACCAAGACCTGTAGCATTCTAGAGGATGCTTGTAGCAACCTAGATAATGCTTGTAGCGTCATAGGTGATATCTGTAGCATCATCGGTGACGTCTATAGCATTCTAGGGAATGCTTGTAGCATCAAAGGTGATGCTTGTGGCATTCTAGGGAATGCCTGAGGCATCTCAGACAATACCTGTCGATGCTAGATGATTCTGGTGGTATTCTAGACGTTGAATACTTGAATAGTTGAATAGTTGAACTGATAGTTGAATACTTGAATTCAACTTTCAAGTTTGACACTACTGTCACTCTTATTCATAGTTAGGTAATTTTCTGGAAAACTGTATACAGGATAATATACTATGATAGATGCTATCGAAATGTAGGTTTTATTTGATTCCATTTTGGAGGAAGAAGAGTTAAAGGAACAAGTCTCGGAAAGCTACAGAGAAATCATTGATTTATTTATTAGTTTTTTGTTCAGAAGAATATGCCCATTGCTAGAACTTATGATACTTTCGTTATAAATTGTAAACACTTTTTTCTTAGTTAGTATTTGTGTTATTACTAAGTTTCTAAAGAAATTTCTCATAAATGGAAATAAATATATTTTTACTAGACACCAAAATTGTCAATATTAATAATTATAAAACAAATGCTCTTTTTAATTGTTGCGCGACTTTTTGTCCATTTATTAGACTCAACTGATAAAGTTCTTAAAATTTGTTATAATTTAAACTATTTAGGTAATTATCAAACATTGAGCTGAATTTCGCACATAATATTCTACAGTATCTATAAAATGAACACTAGATATGTTGATGACCAAACCATATTCTGTGAAAGATAATACATACAGTCAGTATCAAAAACATTGATAAAAATTACGAGAAGCTAAATTATTTTGGAATTCATTTTGTTTCGAATGAGTTTATAATTTACTTGCGTTATCCAATGTGATAACTAAAACAAAACATCTTTTTTTTATTGGCATATTATCGAAAAGATGGATTGTAGTTCGAAGGTTATATCAAATGTATGTCTGATAATAATGATGTTTATGAGCTAAGATTTTCTTTCAATGAAAAATAGAAGTTATTCTCTATTGTTTCTTGTTGTATAAATCTTTTTCATCGGTATTCAAGTAAAATTTTTTTCTAAAATGACATCTTTCAGATATTATTAGAAGAAATTTATCAAAAGAACATTAACGATAGATATCGTAGGAATTTTCTGTTCGTCTTTTGATTGATTTTAGCAAGATATTTTATGGATAGACAATGTTACCTTTATAGCATTCATTTTTATCACACATATCAATAATAAATATTTTTTCTAGTTTTTTTTTACTGATTTGATTAAATTGGTATTGAACTTGTCAAACTGCATAAAATAAACAACACCAAATGGAAGGATGTCGGTGAATAGAAGCCTACACCCAAATAAGAAATTTTGCGGACATGAAGAGTTTGTCTATTCCGCAAATACTAAGTCAAAATTTATAAAAAAAATGCTGTAACAGAGAGAACACTCTCTGATGGATAATAATCAATTAGAAGGTTTTGACCAATAGATACTGAATTTTAATTTATTGTACCGAATACTTGAAAGTAAAGGTTTTAGAAGATATGTCACATTATTAATAGTTCTTACTACTACTAATGAAATTTAACACAATACTATTGATAAACAGCAGCAAATTTCAATTTGTCATCTCTGAAAATCCTCTAGTCAAGATTTTATTTGAACAGTCATAATATATTTCATGGTTGAAGTAATGCTCCTTTTCAATAGACTAGATAGACAAAAAAATTATGATTGAACGTTTCTTTATATCATGATAAAATCATGAGAATTATATCTTTGATGAATTTATTCTTTCTTCTGAAACACTTGTCTCCGAAAAAAATGAGAACACAAATGAAAAATCATTTTCTTTATTGAATTACATAAAAACGATTCTTTATCTGTGTCAAAAATATATAACATTTAATTTGATATTGATTGATTGTGTATTACTCTACTTTCAATCTATTACAATAAAAATCATTTTATATTGATTTATGACATAAATAAACGAGACTGATATTTAAATAAAAAGACTTGATACATCTTGATACTGATTGGTATGCTTTTCAGATACAGTATGGAGTTAGTGTGGGGGCGCTGTGATTAAAATGAAGATGATACAAGGAATTTTAAATTAATATTTTTTAAATTTTATTTAACAAAACTTATGAAAAAAAGTTAGCAAAAGATGTCGTAGAAGTTTTCTCATATTCTGATTGGTTTTCAAGAGATATAACATGGATCAGCAACGTTGTCGGTTTCTCGTATTTTTTCCTATAAGATCGATTAATTCAAAAAAGAAATTCGTCTTTACTATAAACACACTACTAGAAATATGGTAAATTAAGAAACGAATGCATATAACTTGAAAAATATTTTTCTTTTTTTATAGGTTGAATTTAAAGGACCTGGTTACACGAGTAGTTATAACAATATTTTCATTATCATTCCAGCTATTATTATTGTTGCTCTTGTTGGTCAGTTTAATTGAAACTCAATGTTTTTTTTTTAATGAAGATTTATTTTATTTTGTTAATAGGTTTTGTTGCTTATCGTTTGGTTGATAGTTTAATGTCTAAAAAACGGCAAAAATTGGAAAAAGCACGATTAAGACAACAAAAAAAAGTTGATCGACAAGCATCACCTCAACCATCACCTGGAAAAAACAAGCGCAAATGATCTTTGTTCTATTTATTCATTTTAAAATTTTACTCTGTTGTGTTCTATTGAAGATAGAATTTTATTTAAATGAAAGCAATATATATATGCATTGACATGACAATAATCATGTCATATTTCATATTCAAAAGTTTCAAGATATTAAATAAACGCAAATTGTTTCTATTTGAACGTCTTTAGATTAATTAGAATAAGGAAAAAATTTTTGTCGATAGTTAGGGCTCAATGAAACTTAGAAAATCTTGCAAGTGTTTATACTTTAGAGAATATTTAATAAAACGGTGTGTCACTGCTGGCAAAATGTTATGGTCACAAACACTTTAAATATTTTCTTATCCTCAAGAATTTTTTTTACGGTCAAAATATCATTTCAAAGGCAACAAATCAGTTGAGATACGTCTCGCATAAATAGATTCTATAGATAAACTAACATTGAATTGAGTACATTTAACTTATCATCATATGATGAAGAAAATCGTTAAACAATATCTGACACTTATAAAATCGTTTCTGATACTTGCTTTATTTTCACAGAAAATATTTTCGTGAATTTCTCGTTAGTGGGATCAAATATATGATAAAAGTTTGTAGTCAACTAACTGATCAATCGAGTAAATTCATGAAAATAATCTCCATGTATATGATCAAATAAACTAATAATGAAAGAATGAGTGTAACAATTATTGATTTGTATAATCGTGCACATATTGAAGAAATACTACTTTAAAAAAGGATGCATCAACAACTCTTTTTTTTTCTATCTATTACTTGAATGAAGTGCTTCCTTGTAATGATCTTTAAAGGAGCCTCTACTCTTAAATCAAACTCAAAAACTCCTTTTTGTTTTATTGTTATTTTTTCATCACAAATAAAACTTTCATAGGTTGGCTGTCGAATCTTATATAGATCGTAACATTTCGTTGGATTATTCACTCTTTAACAAAATTTGTAGTCGATATACGAGTATCTCTGGCAACATGCTGTTGGCGCTATGCTGGATAACTTAAGATTGAAAACGGTTCAACACAAAGAAAATGATTATTTATTTTAATCTGCGTTTCTCTCAAAATCGAGTATTGTACGACGAAAATGCATTATTTTTTCTCATTTCTTAAGCCTGTTATGACATCATAGAGTGGGCAACCAGATGGACATGAACGAAAGTATTACTTTCCAAAACTCAAATATCAGAATAACTGCATTTAGAATTATTCTACTTTGGTTTCAAATAAAACATCCAAAAATTAAATAGAACGCTATATAGTCTATTTTTATAAATTTGCTCATAAATCGCTATCAATAGATAAAGTTAGCCCTGTAACCAACTAATGAAAATCTTAAAAAATAAAAACTATCAGAAATGAATGATTACCCTAAGGGCTCCATTCTAGTAAAAATGATTTTGATTGTATTCAAGTAAGAAAAGAAAAAAATTGATTACCGAGCTAAAAGCAAGTTTGAAAATTGACATGCTGTATTTTGGAAAGCCTAGAAATAGAGTCAGTTCGCGACGGACCTGAACTTTTTACTTACTATTTTTCTATATGTAGACTATCATTGACCATAGCACCATTTTGTATCGATGAGTACAGTCGATGCTGTGAGTCTCCCAAAATCTGAGATTTTCATCATAAATAATATAAAGTGCTTCTTTGAAAAAAAACTTTTTGAACTTTATGCAACGAAAACTTCAAAAATTAGTCATATCGTATTTTTCGAACGTTACAAAAATTTTTGATCCGATCGATCCTAAACACTTGACTCCTTTGAAGAAGAATCAATATTTCGCCATGACTTCCATTAGAAAAATCATTTTCTGAAGCGACCAATACCCTAAAACGATGATTATCTCATGATATGTATGCTAGACACTCCTATAAAGAAGTTTTAACACCCTCTTGCCCTCTACAAACCGGCCTCAACATATTCATGGCTGATTCTCATATGATTTGGTAGATTTCGCCGAGTTCTATCTAACGGTACTGCTATCTTAACTGGCACAGCTTTTCAAATGAATATTTGGTCATCATATGTGCCCTAAACTCCTCTATATTACCATCTGTAGACCTGCTACATCTTGACGTAGGTAATGAAACTAAGTTAATTTGGTACTAATCGAGATATCTCATCGAGTTCTACCTAACACAAGTGCTTTTCAACTGGGACACGTCTTGAAATAAGTATTAGACCGAAATACTGATTTTTGCACGAAACTCAGTGTTTTCAAAGCAGTATTTTGAATTGTACAGCTGCTTCTGACAATGGAAATTCTTTGAAAGGGAAACATTTCTCAATGTATTAGATGCTCTATCTGATGCGACAATAATCTTTTTTAGCACAAGTCTGTTGGCGAATATTTTCCTAAAAAACTCGGAACTGCTGCCAACTTTACTTATGTTTCATTCCAAAATAAAATGTATCTTGTATATGAATGTCATCTAGATTCAATCGATGAAAATGTAGGCCTAATCTTTCAATTATACTCACTTTCTTCATTTTTCTTATAACTTGTCAACAATAATTATAATTAACATATTTTAAATTTATGTTTCATTACAAACTAGCAAAGAACAGAAGACTTCTTAGAATTTTACTGCAGCTAAGGTTTCTTGAGAAAAATGAATCGATGTCACAGGCGATAATGAATAATTTAGTTTGAATTCGAAGAATGGAAACACTTCTTACGTCTCTGTCGATTGGTGGTATAGATCATTTCAGATAATTTGTCGTGCAATCTTCTACCTCTATCTAGATAATTTTATATTGTACACGAACACAGAGCCAGTGGATATTTTGCTGCTACTAACGTCAGTAACGAATAGAACTACCGATTCCAATGATCATATTCTATTGAACAACAAATTTGTAACCTGTAATGATGTTATAGCTATTGCAAATGATAACCGTATGTCTGCTAATAAGAATTATTTTCTTTAGAATTAATGCTGCTAATTTTGTACTTATTTATTTCGAATTTAAAAAATATATTCAATTTATTCAAATAGAAATTCAAATATATCAATCATTTTTTTAGATGGATTTCATATTGGAAAAGTAAACGAAATCGAAGAGAGTTCGATCAATATAACACTGTTTCATTATAAATTGGATACCAAAACAGAAATGACTATACAACAAGAGGTCATTTCCAGTTTTGGACAACATTGTGGTAAATCAATTTTTGAAATGAGTGATGAACAACAAAAGGTGTTGTTCGATCGTGTTTATGAACTTGGTGAGTAATTGTTTATCTACTTCTTTCTCGGATATCAACTAATATTTTTATTGTAGATCCTAATTCAACTTCTCTTTCTTTAATGGCTGAATTAAAATACAAAGAAGAAGTGAGTCATTTTTTTTTATAAAATATATCGTGACTGAAAATGGCTATTCTTTGTTATTATCTTGGCATATTGAAAGCAATGAACTATTCAATATTCGTCCGAAAGAATAATCATCAGATCATCCAATGAACAATTGCCTATTTTCGTGTTTGTTCATTGCTTGTCGGTAGTCGACAAAAGTATTTAAAGAGAATAAAGTTTAAGAATATAGCACAATACATAGTTTAGATAATTCAATAGTACTTAGATATCAGTTTATTTATTTGTCTTGCTTCATTGATCATTAGAAAGTATTCAAGTCGAGCTCAAACGTCTCTCTCTCGAGTTGTACCTGTAGGTTTTATCTTGATTGCTTTAGGTTCTCATAAAAATGGAAAAAAACAATGGAATAATTACTCCATCAATTATTTGTTGTTGATGATATTCCTCAGTTACTGATTCAACTTGTTAATGATGATATTATTAATTTTGAGAAGATGGTTTTTCTGATTTTTGATCAAGTTCGAAAATCAGATAACGAAATTAAGCTCAATTCACTTGCAAAACTTCTTACACTTATGTGTATAAAAACGGAATCACTGCAATACGTCGAACATCATTTAAATTTGATAATCGATGAAGAATCCGGCTCATCATGCAAAACATTCTTTAAAAAATACTTCAAAGAAATTTGTAAGTACTCATTTTTTTTCATCACAAAGGAAAAATACTTATTAATATTATGCATTTAGGTCATTTAATGGTGAAGATCGACAATGACAAGCTGGATATGACTTTTATGAAGCATTATCTTCGTTTATCTGGTGTTGCAATGGATATCTAATCTGTCAATATATACGTTCAATGAACGCTGTCGCGCTATCTTTCTGTTTAACTTAAAAAAATTGTCTATAGTACTATTATGAATCATCTTTTTTTTTTCGTGATATGAATTTATTTGATTCTTCTCATTGTGGTCTATTCATTGTCTATATATTATTCTTTTTTTCTAAGTATATCAGAGTAACAAAGTTTTATTAGATATAGTATGTGATGAAGCAATAAAAACTTATCAAATAACAGATAGTCATCAATAGAAAGAGCAATCTGTTAGTGAATAATAAAAACGAATTTAAAACAAACATGGCAATACCTTATGATCAACAAATGAAGTACTTTTGTTGTATAACTAGTAAGGTTTAACAGAAATAGGCAAAGAAATTTAAGGAATGTCGGTATTTTTCTTAAATATTTTTCATGTTTTACAATAGTTCTAGGAAAGATCAGAGATTATAAACCTGCATAAAAGCACCAAGGAATTGAGAGAGGAAAATTTTTGTTTTGTCAAAAACTACACAACAGAATGATTTCTGTGATGTTTTCATCTAAGACATTTATGCGAGCTAGAGTTCGGAAAATTCTTAATGAATGATTGAAAAGTATACGAAACACTTTTTGATGGAATAAAGGAAAAGACAATTCACTAACAAATATCAAAGCAAGCATCGTCTGTTAATCAGAAGATTTTCGAAGCATCAAATTAAAAAGAATGTTATTTCTTCATCATGCAGAGCAGCGATCGAAACAGGTGAGGAATCGAAGTGAGACGAGCGGTGAATAAAAATAAATCATCAGAATTTCCATCTATGATAATTTTTTCATAAAAGTAGCTACATC